AGAACTGCTATGTGTTCTTTTCCTTGTGAAGTGCCATGTAAAATGATATAAATAGAAGATAGTAATGACAACAATGAAATAAATCAGTGATGGACATGGTAATAATGATAATGATGATGATGTTGATGATGATAATAATACTTTAAGGGGCTAATAAATCTGCATGTGTATGTTGTAAATTCACCTGTTTCAACTGGTTTAAAACAGTCTGTCTTAATGTATTGTCGAAGGCTTTCATGGCTGGAATCACTGGGTTGCTGTAGGTTTTTCGGGCTGTATGGCCATGTTCTAGAAGCATTCTCTCCTGACGTTTCACCTGCATCAATGGCAGGCATCCTCAGAGGTTGTGAGGTCTGTTGGAAACTAGGAAAATTGGGTTTTAGGTGTGGCTTTTAGGTGTGGCTTGTTCCTGCCTAAGGGGAATCCTTTGTTGAGAGGTAATTAGCTGTTCCTATTATTTGAGAACACAAACATGCTGGACCACTCTAATAACTACCATGTCAAGCTACACAGAGAAGCCACTGAAATCCACAAACATGTGGGCAATTTCAACAGAAAGGAAGTAACCATGAAAATGAACAAAATCTGGCTACTAGTATTTAAAAACTCTAAAATTATAACAGTAAATAAAGAACAAAACTCAAACACAGGGAAACTCCAGACAAGAACAGCTAATCACCTCTCAACAAAGAAATTGTTGCCGGTATGTAAGCCGCCCTGAGTCCCCTCTTGGAGGTTAAGAAGGGCGGGATAAAAATGTTGGAAATAATAATAATAATAATAATAATAATAATAATAATAATAATAATAATTGATTCCCCCAGGCAGGGACAAGCCATACCTAAAAACTGTCAGGCCATCAAATGCTAATCAAGGTGAACAATTGAAACATTCACACCTAGCTCCAACAGACAAGAGTTCTTTCTCCCAACCTGGACTTTCCACAGATATACAAACCCCATTTTCCTAGTTTCCAGCAGACCTCCCAACCTCTGAGTATGCCTGCCATCGATGCAGGTGAAACGTTAAGAGAGAATGCTTCTAGATCATGGCCATACAGCCCGAAAAATCTACAACAACCCAGTCTATGTCTTGTTAATAACATTCTTTTAATCTCTTTAAATTAGTCTTACTGTTTTAAATTTAAACTGGAAACTATACATAGTTTCCAGGTTCAATCTAAGATCACACAATGGGAGGAGCAAAGGTTCTTTCTTGTGTTGATGAGATACGATAATTTGAGCACAGTCACAGAGTTGTGGTAACTGTTGTGGGATTTATGCATTAGCTGGTGATTTCCCCAAAGCACTGAAACTGAGATATGTAATTAGTTTTAGTTTTCCTGCTTCCCATAGAGCATTGGGAACTATAAAGTGCTTTCCTGTGTATCAAATGTTGCTTTTCTCATACTTCAGGCATTCCATCAGGACTTGTCTTCTCAAAGTTGGTGGGCTCATGTGTTAATAAAAAAAAGGGAGATTCAATGTACTGAATTTCACACAAATTGATGGGTTTTTAAAATGAAGACAGAGTTGTTAATGTTTCCTGTCCATGTGTCCATGTGTATATGAAGTTTTGTGCCATAAAACCACAGCTTCCTAAGGATGGGCACAATCTTAATTAAAACTGCACTGATGATTTTTCATGTCTAGCTTCCCCCAACTGTGCTGCATTCCTTTTAATTACAAGTGCAAGACTTTCAAATGGATTGAACCTTAATTGAATGGCATGGGTAAGGCACAAATGTGGAAATAAAGAGAAGGGACTGATTTGGAAGGATTTCAGTGGAACGGGTTTAATTACAACATGTCAGGATACAATGGAGAGATTGAAAGTTGGGTTGTTTAATATTTTCAATGATACATGGCATAAGTTTCGGTTTCTGTATAGCCTGGGAAGAGAAGATACCCATTTAAGTTTTATTTAGTCTCTATTATCAGGAAACTCTGGTTCAAGAGATTTTGTATCCATTTGTGCTTAACTAGCCGAAGCTCCACAAGGTCCATCCACCTCATGGTGAATGGGTGGCTGTTTTGAGGATGGACTGAACTTATTTAAGGGTGCAATATCATATAGTATCCACCTGCCTGAGAAAACACCCCATTGAAGCTAGAGTGGATTACTACTCAGAAGACATGTATGAGACTGTATGCTATATTAGGAATTAAACCAATGTATAATTCTGCACTATGATGCCCAGCTCAATAGCACTAAAAGAACTATTCTGATTCTGAGGTTAAGACCTTAATCAAATATTTCCATAATCATACCCAGTTTGATTTGGATGTGCCATCTGTGAATACTTCAAGGGAAGGCTTCTTTGATGTACGTCTATTAGTTTTTCATTTGAGTTTGATCACATATGATGCTTCAACAATTAGACAAATCATGAAAGATGTATCTGCATTTGATCCTAATGCAAGGACTGCAAAACTGTATCCAGAACTGGGAGATCTTTATGACAAAGAGTGTCAGAGTTTGGGCCATGGAAGTCTTCAGAGATAACTTTGACAATATTTGCTCATGCCTTAGGTTACATTGCCATATGTTCTGAAATTTGTCAAACATTAATCCTGGAGCTGCTCAGAAGTCTAATTCTAGTTTTTACTTCTACATTTGAAATGTTTATTTAGAGATGTAGGGTTCTTTCATAACTCAAAACCATAGTATTATGATTTAACTTGAACAGCTGCGGCTACGATTTTGTAATTTGGGAGGCACTAGAGGTCTCTGGCTAAGTATTCTGAACTACAAGTTTCAAGCTTTGGAAGGACAGAGCCATGGCAGTTCAAGTGGAATCACAGCACTATAATTGTGTAGTGTGAATAATATAGCATCAGAATAAATTTGCTCTGTTTCATACAATTTCACCTGCACGAATATGGAAGCATATGAATACTGTACATGGCATGATTTTATTCTGAGCAACCTTTGCTTGACAAACCCCACCTTTCCCTGGAAGAGAAATAGGAACATAGGATAAAACAAAACCTCACTCTCTACTATCTGGTTCTTGGATTCTATTAGAAGTATGTAGTGGCATATTTGTGCATGTGCAATGATAAAACATGAGTTTCAGCATGGTATAGTGTTTGAGTGTTGGACTAGGACCATGAGATTGACTTCCTACTTGGCCATGGAAACCAACTAGGGAACTTTGGCAAGTCACACTCTGCCAGCCTTAAGATGGATCCGCATTATATGATCAGTGTAGACCAAGTATGGACAAACTTCAGTCCTCCAGGTTTTTTTTACTTCAACTCCCAGATATTCCAGTCAGCTTACCAGTTGGTAGGAATTATAGGATTTGAAGTCCAAAACACCCAGAGGGCGTTTTGGCCATCTCTAGTGTAGACCCATAAAATGTAGTCTGAACTGCATTATATAGGTCTACACTGATCATGTAATGCATTGAAACTGAATTATTTGGCAGTGTAGATTCAGCCTTAGAAGAACGGAAGAAGAAGGCCTTAGAGTGGTGGTTCTCAACCTTTGGTCCTCCAAATGTTTTGGACTTCAGCTCCCAAAATTCCTAACAGCTGGTAAGCTGGCTGGGATTTCTGGGAGCTGAATCCAAAATAAGTGGGGGACCAAATGTTGGAAATCACTGCCTTATAGGAAGACACATCCCCTCTGAACAATTTCTGCCAAGAAAACCCTGTGATAGGTTGATACTAGGGCACCATAAAACAAAAATTATTTGAAGGCGTACAACAACAAGAAACAGTAAAACATAGCAAATACTTAGTATTTTTTATCTACATGAAATAGGACCATTGGCAAAATACAGGCAGATCTCAGTTAACAAAGCCTCAGATAAAGAAGCTCCTTTCTTTTATACTTTCACAGCCTACTGGTCTCTTCCTTATTTTTCATCTAGTTTGTAGTTCTTTTAGCTTCAAAATTGGAATCACGATAAAAAAGGGCTGTGGAAACAGGTTTTGATGCTGAGTGGCAGCAGGAAAAATAAACAGCAGCTGCCTCCAGCACCTCTTACTGAGTATATGTGAACAGCAAAACAGATAAAAAGGGGGAAAAATAGAGAAGCTTGTCTCTGCAGCTTCCTGCAGCATTTTAGAAAAGCATAGAGCTATACATAACTTCCTTTTTTCAAAACTTAATAAAACCCATTGTATGAATCAGATTTTTAAAAATAATCCCTAAAGGTTTGTTTTACATAGTTTTGAAGATCAAATTAGGTAGGTGACATTCCCCATTCTCCATACATTGAGTAAACCGATTTCTGGCGTTTGTCATGGCTCTTGCCAGCATAATAATAATAATAATAATAATAATCACCATCATAATCATCATCTTTATTTATACCCCGCCACCATCTCCCCGATGGGGACTCGGACCAGCTTACAAGCCCAAACAACAAATTACAACAGAGTAAAACCGAAAAAGCAAACCGAAAACACAAACAATAAACAACATCACAATTACATAAAACATGTGAATACGTAACAATATAAAATCACAATATGCACAAAATGGGCAGGCTACATGTAATGATTAAAAGAAAAACTAATTAAAAACTAATTAAAAACTCGGGCGAGATAAAAGAGAAGCAGGTTATTTGTGGAGGAGGGCTCATTATAGTGGGGGTTGTGGAATCAAACTTTTCCACGAGAGAGGACAGACGTGTACTCCAATGACAGAATGTTGAGGCTAAGTAATAATGTGAGATTGTGTACCTACTCGCCAAAGGTGCAGTGGAAGAGCCAGGTTTTAAGGTTCTTTTTTAAAGTTTCTAGGGTAGGGGCTTTTCTAATTTCTCCAGGCAATGAGTTCCAGAGTTGGGGAGCCACAGAGGAAAAAGCTCTCTCCCTTGTACTTACCAGGTGAGCTTGGGAAACTGGCAGGGGCGAGAGAAGGGCCTCCTCAGAAGATCGGAAGGCCCGAGATGGTTCATGGAGGGAGATACGGTCACAAAGGTAGGTGGGTCCCAAACCGTTTAGGGCTTTATAGGTGATAACCCGCACCTTGAATTGGGACCGGAAAGTAAATGGCAGCAGTGGAGCTCCTTAAACAGGGGGGTTGACCGCTCCCTGTAAGTCGCCCCAGTTATTAAAATAGCAGGCGTTATGTTGGCAATTTCTTCCTGGATGTTGGTCTTCAAATCTTGTAGGGTCCTTGGATGGTTCACATAAACACGGGATTTCAAAAAACTCCATACAAGATTTGAAGACTAACATCCAGGAAGAAATTGCCAACATAACGCCTGCTATGCTGGCAAGAGTCATGACAAACGCCAGAAATCGGTTTACTCAGTGTATGGAGAATGGGGGATGTCACCTACCTAATTTGATCTTCAAAACTACGTAAAACAAAACTTTAGGTATGCGCCTACATTATATAAAAAAATTCTGATTCATACAATGGGTTTTATTAAGTTTTGAAAAAAGGAAGTTATGCTGCTGCACCCTGTACATCTGGCTACTGAAAGGGAAATCATAAGGAAAGTGGAAGAAAGGGAAAGAAAAAGAAGTCATTCCTGGAACAGAATCTTGCTCTTTCTGTCATTTCCAAATTTTCTGTGAAGGAAGTCATGTCCACATACACATCGACTTCATAAACTGAGATATACCTGTATATGCTGAATATTTAGAAGCAGAGTTACATACAATTATAAAGAAAAAAAATCCAAATACATTTCACAGTTTATTTGCAGAGAAAAAAATGTTCCATATGTCTGATAGTTGGGCTGAAAAATATGGCTGAAAATTTCCCTTTACATGATTAATATCAAGCTTCCAGAAAATGGAATATCACACAGTCTCCTGGTTCTCTCATGAGACTTTCTGACAGAACACTGTGTTTCTTATGCTTAATCAATTCTTTTTGACAGTTTGTGACACAATAAATAGTTTACCTTCATTTTTGTCCTGTGTTGGATGTTAAAATAATACTGAATGCCATCCTCTTGAGATATTGAGGGTTTAAATACAATGGAATGATTTGTTTTAATTGTTTGCTCTAAGTACAAAAAAATGTTAGGAAAGCATCTCAGCTGATGGATATTCAAAGAATAAAAGCTTTCCAAGCCACTTACAAATAACTCATATTTCTATTTCAGATGTCTAGAGTAAAATGAAAGTATTGAATGAAAAAGCTGTGGATTGTCTCCTGTCTGCATTTAGCTCAGTTTCAGGAACAAAGATCCACTTGTAGAAACAATGGCATCTCCCAGTGGGAGGTTCAAGGGAAGTTGTTTCTTATTACGGCATCCTCCTTTCATGTGACCAAGGTAGGGGACAGATGAAATCTCATGCTTCTCACTGGTCCCGCTCCAACTTTGGTCCTTTTTTTGCTCTTAATGCAGCCTTTGACTGTTGGAGCCACTGACCACTTTTCTATTTCTGTCAGACTCTCTTTGAGTTCTCTCTACCAGATAGCCGAGTTTCTGTAATTTGCACAAGATGCGTCCTGTCACCCGACCGAGCCCCATCTTGCACCGGCCTTGGTGGCTTCACCTTCTCTTCTTCTTCACAAACAAAATGTTGTGCCTGCTGTGTAAAAACTAGGCAGACGTCTCTCCTGATTTTAAGGCAACCAGTTCAGAGTCATCTATATATTTTCCATTAAACTGTTCACTGTTGGAATCATGATGATATAGGTAAATTGGGACCTCTGTGATAGAAGTTGCTGTGTAGGAGGTAGATCGCGTAGAGCAATGTTCTCGCCGCCTTTGACCCCACTGGGTTTTGTACTGCATCCACTGCCTCTTCAAAGCTCCTTGGACCTGCAGGCATAAAATATGAAGAGTTTAGACTAAGAAGGTTTGTCATTGTGTTGTCGAAGGCTTTCATGGCTGGAATCACTGGGTTGCAATGAGTCCTCACAACCTCTGAGGATGCTTGCCACAGATGTGGGCAAAATGTCAGGAGAGAATGCTTCTGAAACGTGACCATACTGCCTGGAAAACTCACAGCAACCCAGTTTCTCATTGTTAATTCTAAAACAACAGTGAATTAATTTTCTCAGTCTTCAAAAACTCACTAAGAATGATAGATGTGTTCGGCTGAGGTTTGGAACTACAAAAAGGTAATGTTGGAGTAATAGGCTTAATATGGTGGGTAGGAGTCCAAGACAGCATGATGTAATTGTTGCAGTGTTGGACTGCACTCTAGAAGACCAAGGTTTGCATCCTGTTCAGCCATGAAAACCCGCTGGCTGATCTTGGGAAGTCACACACACAGTGGCAACCACCCACATCACAATCCCTGCATCGAGCCTTCTCTTCTAGGTCACTCAGAATGGGGGTGCATGAGTAAGCATGTGGAAGATCACTTTCCCCATCTTTTTGTCTAGGCTGCTTCCTGTCTCATTCTTTCCTGCTTCAGTTGCCCTCTTCAATTGGTAAGGCCGAACACTTGCAATCCTGTTCTGTCTCTTTCAGCTGTGGTGATGATACTCTCATCTCCTCTTGCTCCTGAGTGTCAGGATGTCCAAGGTGGACTTGAGAACTAGGGCATATCACAGTAGCTCTACAGCATCACTGGCAGCTCAGGAGTCAGAGGAGAGGAGCATACTGCAAACACCATTGCAAGTGTCACAGAAAAAACTGGAGAAGGGTCAAGAACATGGGGCCTCACTAGCCAAGAAGGAGCAGTGGCTTTGGACACAGTACTACAAGGGGTAAGACATATGGTGGCCTGGACAAAGAGAGAAAGAGGGAGCTACCACTTGCTTACTTGTGAGTAAACAATCTCTCTCTGCTCTGAGAAGCCTAGAAATGAAGGCACAGTACATGTATTATGGTATGGGAGGAGGCCCATGGTGAGCTGACACCAGCCCTAGTTATTTCACTATCTTTCCCCATTCTACTCAGAAAATGGCGTAGTCCATATTTGATATGAGTTACTACTGTAACCAAACTTTAATTTTTAAAAAGCACCACCCCCTTCTTTGAGTAGAGTGGTGAAAGGTAGGAACTTAGTCCATCTTGGGAGAACCTAAAAGGAACTCCAAACACTCTACTCTCTCTGTTGTGCCTGTGAAGTACCAAGAGCTTCTGCCATTTCCCCACCCAAGTTAATACTGTATCATCTGTGGAAAAGTCAACCCAAAACTTTTGGGTTGAGTTTTTGTCTAATTTTTTCAACTTATATACAAGTATATATGATACTGCAGGCCACTCTGGGGACTGAACTTTTTAAAAAGTGAAATGAAACACATCTTCCCTGAAAATCAAAATGAAAGGAAACACATCAACTTTATAGCTGGCGGTGGGGATAACACTGAAATCTATCTCACTTTTTATTCTTCAATACTTCTATACAACACTGTTATGTAGCCATCATTTTTTGTGCTTAGATATTTTACTATTACATTGTACAATGGTTGAAAATAGATTCTGATTCCAGCCACATGCAAGTAGAGTAGAAAATGAAAAATGAGGGATATGAATAGCTGAGGTACATGAAGTGGATCCTAAATTTTGTTTTCATATTTTATTTAATTTTAAAACCTATTAGGAAACTTGGGCAAGTCTTCATTTGAAAGCACGAAGCTATTACTGCTCATAATGAAAGCATGACTGTGGACATGTATTTCCAGACTGTGAGTTGTGATCCAAAGCAAAAATACGAAGACAGAGTATGGGTTCATTGACTTTTCATTACTTTCTTCATTTTTGAAAATTTGGTTGTGCCCCCACACCTATTACCTTGGGTAAGCTCCATTGAACTCAATATACATTTATAAATTAAACACCTTTTGTTTCTTGCTTCATTCAGGTACACATCTTTGGTATTGAGGGTATGGCTCTGTTTTCCCTTAAATAGTCCTTTAGTTTCGTTGATGAGATTTTTCAGACTAGAACTGTGTGCAAAACAACAACATGTGGTCCTGTGGTCAAAAGACCAGTGCATAGTGAAGGGTACTATTCTTAATGTCAAAAGTGCTATCTAGTACTTTTGACAGTAAGTAGACTGGTTCCAAAACCACTCTGCTCTTTGTTGTTTACTTAAATCCCCTTCCAGACTAGGTTTCTATGTATCAGGGTGAACCATTTACATGTGGACTCGTGGCTGTGTTGACATGTGCATTCTTTAGTCTGCTATCTGTTACTTGACTCAATTTAACTTGATAGAGAGGTTTAAAACAACAAAAATTCCATTCAACAACAATAGAATACTATGTTAAATTCATCTGTTGCTTAAGATACCCAATATCAAAGATAGTTCTTCCCTTTTCCTCAAATCCAAAAACTCTGCATCCATCAGCTCTAAATCCTCTCTGTGTTAGCTCAACACCTTGTCAGCTTCAGCTAGAAACCTTACCTGAATTCAAGCTCTGCCCTTGGGTATATTCTGGTCCCTTTCCAGCCACCCTTCACAGCCATCCTGAGCCATGACGGGCTGCCTAAAATTCAAGGCTGCCTAGTGTCTCCACAGAATTGAAAAGGCTACCATATTTACAGCAAAACAGTGATTGAGATCTTGCACCAGGAGATTATATTGAGTGAATTTGTACAATATATTTCCTTGTACAAGCCCCCAAGCCCACCTCCCCCAGATGATCTTTGCCATGTTGGTGGACAGTAGAGGAAGCCACAGAGATGCCTCCAGCTATTTTCTTTTAGCTGCACACATTGTGATAGGCATTCCCAGGGACTTCCAAAGGGTCCTCAGGTAATCCCCATGGACACCTTTATTGCTCTGCATCCCCCACAAATAGTTGTGTGCCATCAAGTGACTTCTGACTTACGGCAACCTTAAGGGCCTGTACAACTGAGGCTTAACACAGAGTTGTAGGTTTTTTTGGGCTGTATGGTCATGTTCTAGAAGCATTTCTAGAATGCTTCTCGAATGCTTCTAGAACATGGCCATACAGCCTGAGAAACCTACAACTCAATGATTCCACCATGAAAGCCTTCGACAATACGCTTAACACGGATTTTTAATTTTTATTTTGAAAAAGTCTGTACATATAAACTGTGAGTTAGTAGAAGGAAGAACAGGTGGGTGTCTTTGTGAATTGAAATTGACATAACATTGTTTAGAAGTTAACACAAAGCTCCCTCCCTCAGTCTGTTTTTGTCTGAATGGACAAAATGGTTGAGTTCTGGCACTGAAAACAATAGCTACGCTCTGCTATGTTCCCAGAGGCACTTTTCTGTGGTTTTAGGGATATATCCAGTCTCTGAGTCACTGTTTCACCTTTAGCTCTTTGGTGAATCTCAAGGTTCTAGTAAAAAAGAAAATAGCTCATCTATGCCTAAAGCCATTCTCCCCTTTTGACATTCCTTGGAGCTCTTGGAGTAACACTTCCCTTTAGTAGAAGCACCTCTGCTTCTTCATTTCTGATTTCGTTACAAGTAGGGGAGCCAAGATAAGAGTGCATATCAACCTGGATTAAAAGCATCCCTTTCTATCCAAAATCTTAACAATCTTCTTTTCACAGGCTTTACAATACAGAATTGGCTCTATAAATAAGTGACACGATCAAAATAATGATGCAAAGGATGCAAATATAGGGTATATAAATATGATTTTTGCATTAGAAATGGCCTTGAAAGAATTTATATTAAATCTGCTGTATCCATTCCTTTCATAAGGACCACACAAAAAGAGAAAACACCAGCAATTATAAATTTCCCTCTATGGGACATGTATATATTTGTTTTATAGTAATTATATATTTGAGAATCAATGTGAAGAATGTAGGAGGAGGAGACCAGAGTTCAGATGCACATTTAACAATGGAAACTCACTTGGTAACATTTGGGAAATTACACTGGAGATGAGCAACACCCTCCAGAGTCGGACATGACTAGACTTAATGTCAAGGGAAAACCTTTACCTTTACCACCACCACCACCACCACCACCACCACCTCCTCCCTGCTTTTCATATTTATTTATGTACTGCTTTTTCTCTCTTAAAGAACAGTGGCAAAAACAATAAATGCACAAATTAAAATCTATAGGCTACAAAAGTTAAAACAGAATGAAACCTAAAACTATCTAAAATGAATAATCGAAATCATTAAAACCAATTTAAAATACATAAAACACCGCACCACAACCCCTGACTTGAAATGCTTGGGTTACTTTCTCTAAATTCGTGGTGTTCTGGACACAGCTTTTGTGGGTTCTGAAAATCTGAGAATAAATAAAACCGTGCCACTGTCTCCAAATGCAGATATGGAACATTATGCCATTTTTGAACATTTGTTTTGGATTAATTTCACCGGATTCTGCCTTCATGAAAAATTGTCCAGTAATAAGCAATAAATCACTAAGGAAACCAAGCTTCCATTGCATTACAGTTAATCCCCCTTTTTGTGCCATGCTATAGTTTTTCCCTCAAGAGAAATAGCACTGTGATCTCTCTGCATCTGGCAACAGCTAGCTGGACAATTTTACTGGAGGAAACTAACAACTGAAGATTAGGCTCCAACTTTAGCTTAAGGGTTGCATTGAATCTAAAGAGTAGCTGGAGCCTTTGGAGAAATGTTGACAGAATTCTGATAGGCTTTTCAAGATGAAGGTTTTCAAGAGTAATTCATATACTTTAAATGGTTATGCTGATGCTTTTATGTTACTTTGAATCCCCTTTGGGGGAGATAAAGCGGGGAATAAATACATATACCCGTATATATTCAAATATAAGCTGACCCGAATATAAGCCAAGGCATCTAATTTTACCACAAAAACCAGGGAAAACGTATTGACTTGAGTATAAGCCAAAGATGGGAAAAGCAGCAGCTACTAATACAGTGCAAAATAAAAACAGATACCAATGAAATTACATTAATTGAGGCATCAGTAGGTTAAATGTATTTGAATATTTACATAAAACTGTAATTTAAGATAAGACTGTCCAACTCTGATTAAACCATTATTCTAACCTTCTTCAATGTAAATGTGCTTACGTATCCTTTTAATAATAATAAAGAGAGTAAAATAATAAATGTAATACAGATAATAATAGAGTAAAATAATGGAAATGTAATAGTAACAGTAATAATAGAGTAATAGATGTAATAATAATAAGGTAAAATAATAAATGTAATAATAATAAATAGAGAAAATAATAAATGTAATAATAGAGAAAATAATAAAACCTTGACTCGAGTATAAGCCGAGGGAGTCTTTTTTCAGCCTAAAAAAGGACTGAAAAAAACTGAATTATACTTTTTATGTCAGTATCAGACATGTAGCCGGGGGGGGGGGGGGCTTGAGGGGCTTCAGCCCCCCCCGAAATTCTCATGGTGGTTCGTGAAAAGGCCTTACTGGTGCATTATTTAAACTGTTATGTTTATTCATATCATGATCTGATCACCATACTCAATATATCCCATATGCATGGGGGTATTGGGGTAATGATACAAAAGGTTTGCTAGGTAGACCCTCTTTCACTCAGACTCAGCCCTCCCAAATCAAAATCCTGGCTACGGGCCTGGTTAACTCAGCCCCCCCGAACCCCCCCCTGAAAAAAAATTCACCCCCCCCCCCCGAAACGAAATCCTGGCTACGGGCCTGATGGTAATAATATTACTAATAATAGAAGAAGCTAGATCCCCCCTCCCCCAATTCTCCAAAACTCATCTCACACTGGAGATGAATTTGTGCTGACCACGGAACAACAGACTGGTTCAAGATTGGGAAAGGCGTACGGCAAGGCTGCATCCTCTCACCCAACCTTTTTAACTTGTATGGCAGAACACATCATGCGAGGGAAGAAGGAGAAAAGAGAAGGGGAAGGAAGAGGGGGGAAAGGAGGAGGAAGAAAGAGGAAGAAGAGGGGGGGGGAAAAGAAAAGAAGGGGGGAGGGAGAGGAGAGGGAAAGGTAGGAAAGGGAGAA